AGCTGAGGGCCAGGGAGGGCATGCCAGACTCATACTGAGGGTTCATTAGCATTCCATATACGAGCCGAGGATCGGGTGGTATGCTTGACTCGTATTGAGGGCTAATCATTGGTATTCCAATCCAAGGACTGAGGGAGCAAGACAGACGTATGTTGTGGGCCCATGGGCAAGCCAAACTTATGTTGTGGGCTCGAGATCAAGCCAGATATGAGCTGTGTGCCTGATAGGCAAGCCAGACTCATATTGTGGGATCAAGGGGTAATCCAGTCTTTTAGCTGTGGACCCAATACATGCTGTTATTTGTATATGTTATCTGTTTGGGTGTTGGTACTTTGGAACTTACTAAGCTTCGTGCTTACACTTTTTGGTTTATGGTTTCAGGTACTTCAGTGGACCGTGGCAATGTGAAGGTATGACCGTACACATCCTCGTGTTTTGGACTTATGATTTTTGGCAAACTCTGATAATGTGAATGTTTTGAAAACTATATTGAAAGAGATTCTAATTTTTAAATAATATTTTGGGAACAACGGTTTTTGTAAACACTTCTATAGAAAAAGGGTTGTTTTGAAAAGTTTAAATTTTATAAAATTTTATTGATGTTACACATCTGGCAGAACGGGACCGTCTTACAAATGTTTGAATTAAAGGTGATTTTATCGATCTCTAAAAAAATATGTATCACTTACAATTTCCTAATTTTTGGAAACCAATTTAAGTATGTAATAGCTTTTGTAACGATCATTTAACTAATATGAATGAAAAACACTACCATTTAAGAAAACCATAGCATTTGTTTACATAATTAAGTTAAAAATGGCATTGCATTATAAAAAAACAGAGTTCATTCCAGGTATAACTGGGAATTTGCATGCGGTGTAAACTAATAATGTCTACATGCTTTTCAAATAATTCCATGTAGGTCTCATTTAGGCGGAACACATTATTAGTCATTTGCACTCGTTCTTTCGTCGTTGCACTTCTTCTATGTGCTTGTTCGATGATGTCTATTGTGTTCACAAACCATTGTATATCTTCAGACATCGTAATGAGGAGCATTTGCATATTATACAATGCTAGTTTTCTATGCTCCTCGATCGTAGAAGGTGGTAATGGGATTTCCAATATTACTATTCGTTCTTTCACATGTTGATAATCATGAATCATTTCTACCGTAGTCGTAATCAACAAGATGTCGTTGCTTGTCTTCAAGACGTATTATTTCATGTTTAATTAACAACTGGATTTCAGAGAGTATGATTAAAAATATAAAAAAAAACATATTTTAAAAGTGTTCTGAAAATAAAACCAACTTGTTGAAAATGTATCCATAACATAAAATATAAAATAGAAACTAGCATAAAATAACATGTCATTCTAAACTTGCTCCGGTCCAATTTTTTAGATTTCTATCTGCTTTCAATTTAAGCATTAACACCCTCTCTGATTACCTTCTTAATTTTATTGGTGCCCTTGGTGGTCTATAGTTTGATTTCTTTTCCTAATTCAACATCTAGGTTGTTGATCTGCAAAAACCAATTCAACAATATTTAAATATAGTATCATAAAAAATATGTATAATTTTTTTTTAATTAAAGTTTACCTTTATCGGACCCAATTCTGAAAGCTCCTATAGATGGAAAATAATTTCTTCATTCATAAAACCCAATTTTTCTAACAACAACCATGTAAATTAATCTTCTTACTAATATAGGAAATTTGTTTAACACAAATCAATTTAAAAATTAATTTAACAATATCGGAATATATATATATATAATATATATATATATATATCTATATATATATATATATATATATATATATATATATTCCTATTCCGGACTATTAGTGCCATTAAGGCTATCATTCCGTAAATGATCTTCGTATTCCATATTATGTTCTTCGATTTCCGAACTCTTAGTAATATTCCAAAATCACTTGTAATGAGTAATATAGACTTATTTCATCTCTAAGGATTGGTACTAACACATTTAAGGTACCTATATGGTTATTATATATATATATATATATATATGGTATAGTCTGGCTAAAACTAAAAGTAACTAAAAAATTTAGTTATTTCGGACTTGTTTCTCGTATTCCGGAATTATTCTATGCATTCCAGAATACAGAAAATCATTTGTACACTAAAATGGAAGTAAGTTAAACAGTAAATTCACCTGGTTCAAAATTTATGTTTCTAAAATGCTTATTTCGGTTTTTAGGCATGGACACCATATAATATAGATATATATATATATATATATATATAGAATATATATATATATATATATATATATATATATATCTATATATATATATAGATATATATCATTGGTTTAAAGTAGAGGGTTTGGTGCGTTTAAGTTAGCGCCAAAATACCTATTCTAAAAAGAGTGGTTACTTTTCAAAAAGAAACGTTGAAGGACATTTCTTGCAAATATTTCTTTCCTTTGTAACTGAATTTGTAATTAATATTACAATTTAATTACATATTAACACACATTAATTTTGTGATTAATAGAGGTGTTTAAATGAGAGATTATAGAATGTGTAGTATAAATACTACTACTATACAACCATTTGAGAAAACCAATAAGAATACAAAAACTCTATTCTTCTCCATTTCATGTTCTTAGTTTTTTTGCTGAATTAAAGGTAAAATTCAGGCCTAATGAGGGTTCAGGTGGTCTAGAAGAACCACTTCTAGTTGTTATATCCTGGGAAACAAACACTCAATAGCAGACAAATTTATTTTAAGGACAGTGTGTTTAACACATGCCTCAATTTTTTCCTATTTCTTATTTGTTTTCGTACATTTCCGTAATATTATTCCTACAGTTATTTATTATTATATAATTTATTTTTATAATTATTGAAAAAGTAAACGTTTTCTATTTAAAATGGTGTGGTGTTGAGGATGATGTGACATATGAGGTGACAAAAAATGGTATGAAGGGAAGGTCCCATACTCACTAAACATGAGTGGATAAATTTTTAACCATATTTAATACTAGTTATATTCATTTAGGGGCCCCAAATCCATTTAAGACAAAACTTCATAAATGATCCCTATATTCATTTAGGGGCCCCAAATCTGAAATTTAGTCCTTATGTTTAAAAAACCTCACAGATGGTCCTATGGTTTCAAAACATTTAACAAACGGTCATTTTTGCTAACTCCGTTAGCTTTTGTCTGTTAACTAAAGGGCATTTCCGTCATTTCACTATGACATGGACCATTTATGAAGTATTGTCTTATTTAGAAATAATAAAATATAATTTAAAATAGAAAGGGTCTCTCTCTCTCTCTCTCTCTCTCTCTCTC